TTTATTTCATGCAGTATTATTTTTTGCTCTGTATTTCATTTTTTAGTGTATTTGATTGTTATTTGTGTACTGCTGTTCTAATTGTTTTCTATTTCACTCCTTGTTGGCTGTTTTTCTCTTTGTGAAAGAAACCTCCCCCTCAAACGTTTCCAATGGAGTTCAATGCTTTTCAACAAAAGGTAAAAATGTAAGTGAAATCTCCTGATTTTCACTAAAGTTGTAAGTAAATAAAAACTCAGAATTTCCCCCATATCTATTATCTATACTTACTTGCTTGCCATAGACTTACCATTAACCTATATGACTATTTTTCTGGTGAGGCATACCTTTATAACAACAGCCTAAATATGATCTTTTATATATTAAAGCAGACTTTCAATGGCAAAAAGGAAGTTCCACTTTGTTTGGCAGTCCCTTGCCCATCCCCATCATAAATGGCTTTAAAAAGTAATTTGTAAACAAACCGTTTTCACACGCAAAATACTTACCTCGGCCATAGCTCCTGACTCTTCTGGGAGTCATGGATTAGGTCACTGTGCTCAACGGCAGAGCTGGAAGTTTAAAATCCCACAAAGATGGAGTGCATGCTCACAAAATGATGAGCTCTTAGCTCTGCTGGGAGAGACAGATAAATTATCTGTTCCTCCTGGATAGGTCAGAAGCAATTTGTGTTGGAGAGGCAGAGGACTGGCAAAAAAGTAGATCTTCCTTTTGCCATAGAAGGTCCAGTTCAACCACTTCATGCCCACAGGAGTAAGGAAAAATAGCCATGCTTCTAACATCTAAAGCTATTCATAGACATGATATTGAAGTCATTTAATTACACTGTTTTCTGCCAGATCATGCAAAGTTTTCAACACTATGGGTCCAGCAGATGACCGCCAGCCAAAGTTTCTTAAAGGAAATATGTTCATCAAAGTTATAAAACCTTTTCCATGAACCATTGTGCTACTTGGAGATAGGCATCATCTCCTTCCTCCTCAGTTCTCCCTAATGTATAGGCATATTTATACAATGTGTTTTAAAATGATCATGTGGTGGCTGGATTCTTCAAATGTCATCTTATTTCTATAGTTAAATTAAAACACAAGAAAAATGCAATATCTGTCATCTTCTATACTTTAACTAGTTGCCGTCCACCCGTTGTAAAAAAACGGATGGACGGCACTGCTGCATTGGCGGGTTGCCGTCTGCAGACGGCATTTTTTTTCTGCGGGCGCGCAATGTGTGTGCAATGCAAACACCCGTTCCTCCAGTCTGCCTGCGCCCCCCCTTCCCCCCTCCTGACCCCTCACCTTCAATCCCGGGATCCTCTGCCCCATCTGCGGCCCGGGACCAGCTCGGGTGGGTGTCAGGAGGAAGAGGAAGGGAGTTCAGCTCCTTGCTGATCTCCCTCCGGGCTATGAATGCAGAAGTGATGTGTATTACATCACTTCCGCATTCACCTGTCAGTCATCTGGCTGCTATAGCCAGAGAAAAGAAGCTGATGAAGCAGATCTCTTTTGGGGTCCACAGGTGACATTAGGGGTCCTAGAGACCCCTAATGTCTCCATAAAGAGGACCTGTCAGTGTGCCTAAATTTCGCGCGCGCACACAAAGGCTTGACATGTTTGGTGTCTTTTTACCCGACATGACCCCGTATTTTATATTTTACCAAAAAATTGGGTAATAATAAATGTTTTATCATTTAATATAGGGGAAACAGTTCTGTTTTTTTTTAATTTTGGTAATTTTTCCTTAATATAGTAAAAAATAAAAACCCCAGTGGTGAATAAATACCACCAAAAGAAAGCTCGATCTGTCCCCATAAAAAATGGTATAAAATTAATTTCATTACAGCATTGCATGATGGAATAAATGTCAGTCAAAATACCGCAGTGCTGAATACTGAAAAATGGCCGGGATGGGAAGGGGGTTTAACACCGCAGATGTCAACTGGTTAAAGAAGTGCACTGGAGCCTGAAGGGGGTAGGTAGAAGTTTTTTTTAACACAGGAATGAGTGGAAGGAGAACTAAACATTAAAAAAAGTAACTGCAGTTCCACTTAAAAACCATTCTAGTTTTGAAAAGGGATAAACCTGCAGAAAATAAAGTATTTATCCTACAAATTATAAAAAAAGAGTACTATTATAAATACAGGTTTTCTTGCGAACCCTACATTAACCACAGTTGTGCAAGTACAAACTAAACTTTACTGAGACATGGAGACAACTCAAAGAGTATTTAAGTGAAATGTGCTATTAATAATTTTCTGTGCCGTGTTCATCTGCCACGGTCAGTAACACTATAGCAGTTACAGCTCGCCAGATTCTGTCATTTGTGTTGTGATAAAGCTTGAAGCTTTTTTAAGCTGAGAACTGTTCACCCATAAAAGAGTCAGCTTCTAATGCAAGTGGTAGCTTACTGACTAATGATCCAATAAATGTCTTACCTTAGCTATATTTAATCAGTTGCAGTTTGTTTACTTGACTATTTTTAGATGAAGATGAAAGGATTTAATTCATGGAATCACATTCATGTCTGTTTTGATCTTTTCATGAAACCAGACTCACAATTAAATGGACTTTATAAAATAAATAAATAAAAATTGGTCTCCTTTTAACAAGAGTAAGTTGCTAGTTGCTCTTCTCTTTAATTGCACTCTTCAACAGTAAATCCCAGCAGCAGAATTTTGGAGACAAAGGTAGTCACCCTTGTTAGCCCTCACCAGCATAATTGCAGAGTTCACTCTAAAATCTCTTTTGTAGCAGGGAAAAGCTATCCCTTGGTTCAGAAGGGGTCTGAGACAGAAGCCATTTATTAAATAAATTGTTCCACGAATAGCTACTATACTATCTTACAAAGTCAAAAAAACAGCCATAAGCTGAAAGGAAAATAGAGCCAAGGAGTTACATTTAACCATAGACACCGATGCAGCTGCTATGGGCTTGGGGGCAGGGGTGAGTTGATTTTTTTTGCCATTTTTCTTCTCTTTTTATTTTTTTAACAGAGAATAATAAAATTCAGAGTGTACCCCCTTCCCCAAATGAAATCAGCCCATCACCAGTATCTCTTATCAAGAAGGCTACATTGTGCATGTGTGTGTTTTTTCTTACTTTAAGAGTCTAAGGGATCTATTCACTAAGCTGCCGAAGGATCCAGCCATAGCTTCGGCTGATCGGCATCTATGAGAATAGGCCGAACAGCAGCGAGTTCGGCATCTATGAGAATAGGCCGAACAGCAGCGAGTAGCCTGCCAGAGGTTCGGCTCAGCTAATCCAGATGTTGGATCGGCTGAGTCGAACTCCTTCTGCACTTCGGGTCGGCCGAAATTCACTTTGGGTCATTCACTCGGCTGCCTATGGCAGCTTAGTGAATAGACCCGTAAGTTTACAGGCTTTTGTTCACATCTGAACTGCGTCTCTCAAATCAATAAAAATGCAAAAACAACTTGAAGCAGGTTAGATGCATGCCAAATGCAGGCCAAAAAATGGTCAACTGCAGGTCAAATAATCACCTGTCAAACAGATCTTATATACATGTAGAATGCACCAAAAAGAACACTGCAAAGGAAAATAGGGACAGGGAAGGTGTGGCAATTTACCTGCATCCAGTTTCAAATAACCTTTCTACCCCCACACAAATTTCCAAATCTATCTTTTTAGAAACTAGTGTTACTGAATAGCCTGGTATTCTTATTCTCTGCTCAGTTCCCTTTAGAACATACATGAAATGTAAAAAAAATACAGGCTGGTATGAACACTGGATGCTGATGACCTTTCTGTTCTATAAGCCTGATTTGTTAGAATGGGATCACTTGAGGTAGAGGCGCTGTAACGGAGTAAATTTTAAACAGTTTATCGCTAATGTTGCTACCACCATTAAACATTTTGTACATGGAAATCATATCCCCCCTTAAAAGTTCAAAGGTTGCTTAGGAAACATAAGTGAGTAGTGTTGGTCAGGAAATCTCACAGTTCCACAGATAACATTTGTCATTGTAGGATAATAGAAATGTTAATAATTATCTAAAAATCATAACACAATGTTGTGATAAAGAAAAATACATATTATATGCTTCACAAATGATGAAATGACAATACTAGGTGCTTATATGCTAATGTTAGGTTGTTTATATAACAGGTTTTCTCGCTAGAAATGACTTTGAATAAGGATTTTATTAGACCGCTGCTTGTAATGGGTTGTTACAATGTCCTTGGAATGTGTAGTTGTACAGCATGTAAAGCAATTGTTTGTCTCCTAATGTTGTACAGCATTCAGAGAATGGGTTGTTGTCAAGCTGATAATGTGTTCCAAAATAACCGAAATTAATGCATCTTGTAACTGTTATGTGGTATCCATGCAAACTCTTAAGGGAATGTGTTAAAATGTAAAATAATATATTTTTGGAGATCCTACAGGGCAACTATACAAGATTGGCCCTCACAAATCTGCATTCATATGAAGACACTAGGTCTTGGCACATTAACTATGGGTGACCTTCACATGCATGTGCTACTCTCTCTACTTTCTAACCTTAGTTTACTTGTCTTCTTAATAAACTTTTAAAACTGTTCATTGTAAACAGAGGTAGTTGTTTTCCTTATTGGATGAAAACTAAAGGTATTTGATGTGTCACTAATTCAAAAGCCCTTATTCAACACATTACTTATACAAGGGAAAATGAACCATTTAATGCTAGAAAGTGGACTGCAAGTATACCTGGTCAAGTACTGCTAGTAAGCTAGGTAGATTTTCCTTAAACTTGACCTATTAGATGATAAAAACTCAGCAAAAGAAGGTGAAGTGTGATTTATCTAAGTTGGTCCTCATATTATAAAGTTATTGGTATTTTTCTGATCTGATGATTGCTAAAAAATATAACTGATATATATTCAACTTTAGGGTAAAACATGATCAGTTATGATCTTCTATTGGAATGTCTATCTGGAATGCCTAGAAAAGGACAGACAAGGCAAGGAAATGTGAACAAGGGCAGGTGTATGTTGCAGGTTAAAATGCCATATGAATCTTTTCAGTGTTGGGCTACACTGGTTAATATTGCCAAGGTGCCACTAAAGGCAAAGCCTACCTTTTAGAAAAAAATAAATGCACTTTTCTTCATAAAAGAAAACATATGCATAGGAGCTAGAAAAGCATGCAACTGCAATCAGTTGATTCTTCCACACACAAACTTACCGCCCCAGGTAAGCGGAGGGGGCAGGAAGAGGTTGATGGTTGCAATTTGATGTTTCATGTTACACCCTGAAAATTGGTGAATTCAATATTCATCAGTCTGGAGCATTAATAGGGCTCACTCTGCGGAGTCACCAGATTACTCACTGCTCATCTCCCTTAGTGCAACATCTGCTGCCTAGGACCAGTCTTACTGTCAAGGGTTGAGATAAACAACTGCCACATTGTTCTTATACACTTTGTATCTTAAACGTAGGGGAAAAAAAGATACCTTTCTGTCTTCATTAACCCCTTCATGACTGAGCTAGTTTTCAGGTTCTGTTCATAAATGACTGACACATTTTTTACATTTTTGCTGTGTGATTCTTCCACAGCAGTAATATACTTTCTTACTAAATGTACCCACACATATTATATATTGTTTTTTAGAGGACAGATAGGGCTATATAATTATATCACATATGTGTACCTAACCCCTCACTTAGTTTGAATAAAATAAAAAAAATGAGGAAAAAAACTAGAAGAAAACACTTTTTTCACAAGTTTTGATTATTTTTTTTTTTTTTTAGAATTTTTTTATATTAATTATAGTATAAAAAATATATTTATATATAATTTATATTTTCCTAATTTTGTTTTACACTTTATTTTAATTTTTTTACACTTTGTAAAAAAAATAAAAATAAAATAAAAAAACTTTTTTTTTTCTTGTCAGTTTATATCAAGCAATCACTATGACAGCTTGATAAATTAACTTTTTTATTTTATTTTTGGCTATTAGGCTGATCCAAACTTAGGAACAGCTAATAATAACCTTAGAGACTGATCCTGACTTTAGTCAGATTCAGATCTCACTAAAAGCTCTTTGATCGTGCCTAGACGATCAGAAATGATACATTTCACTGAAAAGATACATTGTATCCTTTCAGTGAAATGTATCTAAACATCGGCTCTCGAGCTGTCAAAACAAATAGCAGAGAGGTGAGGTGAGTCACTGCTGCCTCTCTGCTATTTTGAGCTGTCAAATACGGGATCGCAAATTGCGGTCCTCTATTTGCATGTAACGGCTTCATTCTTTCATTAATGAAAGGAAGAAGCTTTTACAAAAAGCTTAATTATTTCATTAATTAATGCCTCAATACTGAGACATTAATGAATGACTGTTAAATGCTGAGAATCAGCAAATACCGGCATTACAAAGCCTGATATAACTCGTCACGTACAGTGTACGTGGCCAGTCATATAGGCACAAAGTGACAAGACGTACACTGTACGTCTCCCGTCACGAAGGGGTTAATTAAACCATAAATCATCCTTAACAACAACAAAGACAAGATTGGCAAACTAACTAGATTAACAAAACCAATATTAATCAAAATGCTATAAATATTATTAAAAGTGTTACTATGGAAAGACTGTCAATGTGTGAAAACTTTTATGAAGTAACAAAATATATAGCTGAAAAAAGAAAATCTGCATAGATGAGCATTGCAATCTCTTGCAACTGTTCCTTTAATCATTTTATCAAAAGTGATACTTTCAGAAGTTTTCAATTCATTGCACATATGCACTGTGTGAGAGATATAACTAACACAATGTTATTTAACAATCAAAAGGAAGGAACAAAGAGTGCAGCCATCCTTGAATATTACAAAACTAATTATACCTTAACAGAACATCTGTGATTCTTTATAAATCAGCTCCGCATTTTGACTACAGTCAGTCACTTTTTTGCAGTGTACATTTTAAGACAGAAAGGAATAGCAGGAGGTCTAAATAAATGTTTCTAATTAAAATGTTACAGAGCTATCTGACAATTTAGACCCGGCATACATTAGATAGAAAGTGAGCATTAGCCAGCCCTGAAAATTACAAATACAGTAAGGTTACATTTTTAACTATGTGCTTCAGTTCAGGTTTTGGAGATGAGGGTTATAGAAACATATTGGTGTCCTCATAAAAACAGATTGGCTTGTCATATTCTCACGTTTGGTTCAGCTGGTTGTAAAATTCTAATGTAAACCTGTATACCTTTTTTTTTATTCACATAATAAACATCAAAAAGTTTGGCAGTTTTTGTATTTCTACCTTGAGTGCTGGCACAGGTTTCTTTGGCAGGAAATGCTTTTCTTCTGCAGGAAGAGCTGATTTTTCTGAAAGCAATTTGACCTTGTTCTGAGCTATGATTTTCTTACGTTCTTCCAAAAATTGTCCAAAACTTGGAAGTTTCTATAGAAAAAGAGAAAAAATATGAATGAGCTATCTGCTATGGGAAAGACATTAAAGCATATCTAAACCCAAGTGCATTGATGTCATATATTTCAGCTCTATATTTCTATATCTTCAGCTACTGATGATTTTAACAACACACTTTCTGTCATTGCAGAAAATGAATATAGCCTTAAAAAAAACCTAATGCAGCCACAACACTTAAGTACTGAAATGTATGATATGCTTGTTCTTGGCTGTAGATATACTTTAACCACCAAAATGTACAACAAATGAACATAATAAATGCACCCAAACTTTAGAGAGCTTGATTGTTCTATAAGGAATATCATTAAACTGGGTTTAAGTAAGCAAAATTAATGTGCAAGTCAAAAAGACTGTTTAGGTTGTAAATCTTTGAGTTTTTCAGGTTCCACATGTATATAAAGAAAAAAATTCTGAAACTTTGGTTCAGAATTCTGTGCAAAGCAGTACAAGCTGTACTGCACGATTTTAATATCAAGATCTACATCTGGTGGCTAATTGAGGATGGGTACCATCTGATTAAAGGTCATTAAAAAAGCATTTAGAACGGATCTCTCTCTGAAAATAAGTTAATTGATTTCCTATTTTGTGACCGAGGCATTGTGATGAAGGCTGTTTTATGGCTTTTCACTTGAGGGGAAGCAGTTTAAGGATCATATTCACTAAATACCACAAATGCACAAGGCGAATAACGGTTTCTTAAAAACCAGTAGGGGGAAAATCTTGTTATAGATGATTAAAACATGCCTGAGGTCTACAACTCAGCAACCACTCTGATGTCTATTCAAACATTTCCTCCAAGGAGTTCACACTGATGACCCGCTTTTATCACAGAAACTAACTCCTTGCAGATTCTCAGATAACCTTATCTCACA